TTTTTTTTTTTTTTTTTTTTTTTTTTTTTGAGGAATCATGAAAATTACTACTTAAAATGTTACTTTTCTCTTTCAGCACCATAACTATATGAGCTCACTAAAAAGCATTCTCTTGGAAACTCCCAGGTTTAAAAACAAACCTTGGAACAGTTTAGATTATGATCTTATTATATTCGTGGAACAACAAATTTCAGAGCATATTCATCATAGCAAATACTAGATTATGATCTTAAACACTAGTTATGATCTCATTCGCAATTACGAGCCAAAATTGTTTCATAAAATTTCATAACGCAATAAAAAGAGCCAAATTAAAAGCCTTTGTGTGCATAAGGGGAATTAACACAGGTAGTTGAAATAAGCAATATAGTAATATTACTATATTACTATATTAACACAGGTAGTTGAAATAAGCAATATAGTAATATTACTATATTACTATATTAACACAGGTAGTTGAAATAAGCAATATAGTAATATTACTATATTACTATATTAACACAGGTAGTTGAAATAAGCAATATAGTAATATTACTATATTACTATATTAACACAGGTAGTTGAAATAAGCAATATAGTAATATTACTATATTACTATATTAACACAGGTAGTTGAAATAAGCAATATAGTAATATTACTATATTACTATATTAACACAGGTAGTTGAAATAAGCAATATAGTAATATTACTATATTACTATATTAACACAGGTAGTTGAAATAAGCAATATAGTAATATTACTATATTACTATATTAACACAGGTAGTTGAAATAAGCAATATAGTAATATTACTATATTACTATATTAACACAGGTAGTTGAAATAAGCAATATAGTAATATTACTATATTACTATATTAACACAGGTAGTTGAAATAAGCAATATAGTAATATTACTATATTACTATATTAACACAGGTAGTTGAAATAAGCAATATAGTAATATTACTATATTACTATATTAACACAGGTAGTTGAAATAAGCAATATAGTAATATTACTATATTACTATATTAACACAGGTAGTTGAAATAAGCAATATAGTAATATTACTATATTACTATATTAACACAGGTAGTTGAAATAAGCAATATAGTAATATTACTATATTACTATATTAACACAGGTAGTTGAAATAAGCAATATAGTAATATTACTATATTACTATATTAACACAGGTAGTTGAAATAAGCAATATAGTAATATTACTATATTACTATATTAACACAGGTAGTTGAAATAAGCCTTTGTCGAGTTTTTGCTTTGTTTCAATTCCAACCCATCCAAAGTGATATTTTCATTTAAAAAAAAAAAAAAAAAAAGTTTATAGTTACTTTCTCAAGTCAAGTGTAACTGTATAAAACATCTACATGCTATTAGTATCTTCAAATTTTAAGGAGGATAATGGACAATCTTAATATTTTAGAAACATCCTTACTCTCAAAAGAAACAATACCACTAAAAAAAATGATTAAAAAACCACTATAAAAGCCAACTCCCAAACAAGCTTTGTGTGGTTGCTTGTGTTAAGATGGTTGTCAGTCTCGTCTTGTTTGTTATTTAATGCTTAATAGCATACCTGCTTAAAATTCATATTAGTGAGTTCAAAACTGTTTCTTCTTTCTATTTTATTGTATGTTTGAGTTTTAATGACATCAATTTTCTATCCTATTAATGTTAAATTTTTGTTTGCTATTTTCTTTGAGTTCCCCTGTTATGTAGTAGGCTTCATACTTTAATTTTGCAACATACAAAATAACCAAAAAGTCACTACAAAAAAATCACCTATTCTCTTTCCTTTTCTGTAGGTCTTTTTGTAAAATGCTAAAAAGCTAATTAAAATAATCAATTCCCAAAACAACTTTACATAATCCATTCAAATTATAATGGTGTGGAACAGTTCATGTTTTGTTTGACATGTAGAGTAGTACAGAAGTTAAGAGAAACAAACTATAGAAACCTATCAATATATATTTCATTTTTTATATAAATAAAATTGTGTAAGTGGAACAGCTCAAGATCAAAAGATGGAACCCAATCTTCACCTCTTCCTACAATCTGAACTATGTCAAAGTTGATTGCCAGATAAATTTGAGTAAAAGTTGATCTAAAAATAGAACCATGTCACTTAGAACTAAAATAATTTGTTCTCTAAAATAATTAGAAGAAAAAAAAACCACAGATCAATGTTACAGTAATAGGTCCTAATGTTCGGAAAACCAAATTCAAGTATAAATTGAAACCAAACAATACAAGTTCCGAGCAAACAAACTGAAGAAACACAATCTCTTGAATCAATTTCATGCCGAAACAAACAAAAAGAAATCTGAATTGTGAGAAGCAGAAAAAGCATCAACAAACGACGATTGTTCATCTAAAAATGAATGAATCGAAGACATAAAAACATCATCAATTTTGTATAAATTTTAGCTCAAACAAATAATCGATTAATCGATCAAACCTGTGATTGAAATAGCTGAAATAGCTGTTGAGAGAGATCAGATTAGGGATCGAAACTGTCGGGGACGAAATCCACAAACCACCGATCAGAGTCTCTAAGAGCAGGGATGAAATCAACAATGAAATTAGGGATGAGAGAGAGAGAGAGAGAGAGAGAGAGAGAGAGAGAGATAGGGGTCTGAAGAGGAAATGAAATCCCGATTATAATTGTGCAAAGAGTGAAAATATAATAAAAAAATGTATGAGTTAGGTTTATTGGCAACCAACTAAAGAGGTGTGCAAAAAGTCATTAACTCTTTTGTAACCAAATAGCTTCGTTTTAAAAATAAAATAATATGATTAAGTATTTCTTTTTTTAAAATCCTTTATTTTGTCCTTAAAAATATAGGTTTTATAGACAAAAAATTTTTGTTCCTAAAATTTTGTCTTTAAAACCTTGATTTCTTGTAGTGCTAAAATAATTAAAAAAAATAAAATAGATTTTATAGTCTCAATAAGATAAAATATCGCATCCAACTCATAATCATTTTATTCTTTCTCTCACAAAAAGTTTAAAAAGTTAAAAATCCTTTCTAAACTAGACTTTTTAACTCCAAGTTAAAATAATCAGGAGAGTCACAAAACTAAAAAGCCAATTCAATCCCCAAACCAAGCCTAAAAATGAAGAGAAGAAAAACAATTACAGAATGAAAAGCTCTTTTCCTAGAACGACTACATTGTCCTTCATGGAAAATTATTCAATACTCCCGGAACATCACGTGTCCATACACCAAACCAATCACCAATTAGTTAGTCCCATGTTGTTTCCCCATCCCCAACATAAATCGTAGGCCCTTGTGTCTCTTCACCAATCAAAACCTTATGGAGCACCACGTGTCCATACTCCAAGAGTACTGAATAATCACACATCCTTCACATCTTATATGACCCCCCCAAAAAAAAAATATTAATAATAATAATACTAATAATAATAATACCCAAAACTTATATATAGAGGACAAAAATTTTCGCGTAGGTTTCCAAAAAAACCTTTGGATTTTATTTAAAGAGACAATCACAACAACTCTTCCTCAGCACCTCTGAATTTTATATTCAAGCGCTTAAATTAAAATATTTTTTACAAGATCATATTTATTTTACAATTGAATTTTATTTATATTCCAAATCCAAATACTCATTAAAAAGATCTAAATAATTTTACAACTCTTCAAGAACCAAAAAAAAAAATCACATTTATTAAGGGGTGATTTGGAAACCATCTAAATAAACAGTATATTTGTTTATTTGCTGAAAGTTATCATATCATTCTCTATTTTTCTGCATATTTTTTTTCATAAAAAGTCAAAAAGTCACTAAATAAGTAAATTCCAAACCACCCTTAGGTTAAGTGGGCGGGTTAAGATTTAAAAAATTTCTTAGAACCGGCCTTGAAATAATTAGATTAGACATGATATCAGATCTGACTAGACTTGAAATGAAAAATATACTATGTTAATATAGTGCAAACCTACCTCAAACTAGACACTGGTATTATCTAAAGCTAATTTACCCGATAGGTCTCAACCGTCAATCTGCCATACCCTTTGGCCCACTCATTAATAATGACCATCTAAATATAACACTCTATTCGGATAGAGGGGTTTGGGAAGAAAAGAAAAGAAATTGTGATAATAGAAAACCCTTTCACTTATTAAAATAGTAAGCAAGTGATATATGATAAAAAATGATGAGAGATTGTGAGAAAATGATTCTCATCGAACCTATACTTTTTTTTCTCACCAAAAGTGATGAGATTTGGTAAGAAAGGAAGTGGATTTAATGAAAATTTTCTAAAATACCAAGATTATCGTTATGAAAAAACATAGGTTATTATTATGGAAAGTTATTTTGGTGACATAAAATACAACATTTTCCTTTTTGTCTCTTATTTATTCTATCCAAACAAAATACATGAGAAACAACATTCTCTTTTCTTATTCATCTAAACATATGGTGAGAAACCATAATCATTTATTTTCTTTTTTTTTTTCTCAATTAGATGAGAAATCATAATCATTTATTTTCTCACCTCCTCTCACGATCCAAACTGAGTGTAAAAGCGGCCAATTTCCACTTACGATTCTCTAGGGCTTGAGAAGCTGAAGATATCGTTTCTCAAGTAACAATCAAAATTGAATCTCTTCTACCATAGTTAAAATCGGATCAGGGGTCACTATTGTGCGACTTGCAGAGCAGTGACTATTGTGTAGTTTATGGGAATTATTTCGGACTTTATTTTCAGCATTCGAATAGTTCAATTTTTAAAGAATATCGAGTAGAACATATCTGTAAAAAAAATCAAGTTGATCGGATATCGATAGACTTGTAGCACTTATATCCTTTTAAACTTTGGGAGGTGTATTGGAATCCTTTATTTTATTTTGAGAATCTTTGCTATTGTTGTATCTTGATTTTAGAGGAGTACAAATCGATTTAAAC